CCATCATAGCACCACTTACCATTGCCATAGTCACAGCCTGCAGCTTTCAGGATTTCTCCCATGTTTTTTAGAGCCTAATGAAAAATGAAACAAAAATCTTTTAACTGTCAGCTGGGTTATATCTGTGTAAGTATGCAAATACGACTTGTAACTTGGCTGCATCAATGTTATATTGTAAGTTCACCCAGCAAAACCTCAACTGTCAAAACTGACCAAAATAAAAACTAATAAAAACGAGCCTCTAATAAACCATAAATATTAAATCATCTATTCGTTAGATGTAAATTTATGATGCAGCTCCATCTCATCCTATTCCACCTCTTTGCTTTTGGGGGAATAAATCTTTCCCCAACTCAAGCCAGGGTTTTTACTGGGGTGTGAACCTTTGTTACAAACATCGATTCTTTCTTACTTTCCTATATAAAAACACTTCCCAAATCTATGTTTTTATGACATAAAAACATAGATTCCTCCCCTGACCTCCAAGTTGTCCAAGCAGAAAAAAGACAGGGTTAGGATGGAATGACTTTTTCTTGCTTTTTCCTCATCTGGAGGATGCAAAATGCACTTTCTAGTCTTCTCAATTTCTCACAAGTCCACATTTAACTAAACACATGCCAATCCCAGTATAAGTTCATTGCTAGAAGACTTCTTACCTGCTTAGCTTCCTCCTTTGCCCCTCCAGAGACAAGCTGCCCTGTGGAAGGTTCTAAGCCTATCTGTCCCGCAATGTACATTGTCCGGTCCACCAGCACAGCTTGGCTGAAAACACAAGTCACATTATAGCTTTAATGTTTCTCCATGAAAACATCCAAGTGTCTGAAAGCACATGTCAAATTTTCTACAGTAGTTTACAGTATCTCAGAAAGGAGACCGAGGTTATGCACACACAAGTTTGTACACACAGTCATACACTCAATAGGTGTATGCTTTTGGAAGTGCCAAGGTTAGGCCATCTATGGCATTGCACAGACCTGTTTTTGAGGAAATAAACCCCATTTCTTGCAAAGGTTCAGAGTATGAATGCAGCAACACAACACTAAACTGACCTATAGATTCCACACTGCAGATAGCACAGATGCAAGGCAGAGTAAGTAGACATTTTTTGCACACGTCTAGATAAATATTCCATCCTAGTTTGAGAAGCAGACAATACCTTTTATCTATATCTCAGCTGCAGAGCGATGAGGGGAATGAAGGGAAAAAAAAACCACAAAAGAAAGAAAAATCAAAACAGGGCTCATTAGAAAATTTAAGAGTTTTCCTCTCAAACAGGCACCATGGTAACAAGTTACAGCTGTGAGGTGACACCCTGCCCACTAATTTTTTGGCAGTATTCTTCCATAGTCATGAATTTGGGCAGTCAGCAAAACACCTTGATCGCTCCATCCCCAGAACAATCACTCTCCTTTCACCAAATAACCTGAGTGACCTGTTGGCTGGGTTAATTCAGAAGAATGCAGAATTAAAGCTAGTTGCAAAACATTTTTATATAAATGTCAGGTGTGTTTTTGCTGAAGTAGAATTAGCAATTATTAATGTCTTTAGTTATCACAAAGAGATTAAAAGATTAAAACAAAGATTTAAACTACCTAGCAAACATTATGCAAGAAACATAATTTAATTCTCTTCAGCTAGTAATTAAAAATATTTTGCAAAGGAACTAGAGAAAGATTTTTTGAAAGTGTTTGTGGCGTGTCAATATCGTTTTTCTTACCTCTTCCATTCCACAAGAAAATGCATTGTTTTAACCATTCAACAAGTCTCTCAAGCTACATAAACTACTCGAGCACCTCCCTTAAGTATCTGAAGGAGTTTAGCTTCCCTTAAGTGTCAGTAGAAATAGAAATGGACACTTTCAGAGTACATTTTTATGACATCTCTCAATTGAGATTGACTCAGTTGGGTTGTCTCAATCCAACCTCACAGGTGACACACCTGATTTAGGGACTCAGTAAAATGATTGGGGCCAGGCAGTTCAAACAGGGCCATCATTCCCATCTTTCCTTTTATCCCTGTCCTACATTCTCCTGTAATTTCATAAGGGGAAAAAACAGTCAGTAACTTATTGGATGTGGTAAAATATCTTATGTTACAACTATTTTTTCTGTCATCAACTAACTGGAGTAAATCATGGAACAACACCATTTAAAGATGAGAAACTAGTGAATAAAATAGTTTTCCAGCTGACAGTCTTTTTCATAGAAAATATGTGCCTGTACACACACGCTTCTTTAATTTTCTTTCCTACCACGTCCTGCTTTGTTTGAGGCACAGGCCCTCAACGCATAAACTTCTGTTCTGTTTGAAGCACAGAGAACCATGCAACAGGAAGGTATGAGCCCTCTAAAAAAGAAGACATTGTCTTGTACTGCTTGTTATAAAATAAATGACATGACAAGACGTTTATCTCAACAGAGGCCTTAGGAAAATCCTAAATCACAAATAACTAGGGAAAAAACAAGCTGAAGCCTTCTGATACCACTGCCAGACCAACATCTGCAACAGCCTTATTGGGTCTCCTTCTCTGCTCCTCCTCAGCTTCCTTCTCTTGGTATGCTTACTGATGCACTCCTCCATTCACTGAGACTAGTAACAATTTACCAACCAAGGGGTACAGTTCTACTGCAGTCAAATGCATGAGTGAAGCTCAGAGAAACTTCAACCACACAAACCCCAGTGGCAGTTATTTCTTGTGCAACTTTTCTGTTCACTGGACTTTGACAAGTTTAGCGAAATCTGATAAACTAAGTTAGTGATAAACTTATTGATGTTAGTTAGACCTGTTGTACAATTAACAGGCAGCATAATAAGAAGTATTTCATCAAGCACTATCAGTAAGCACAAAATGCTGGAGTGCAGTTAATCCAAAACAGAAGTGGAGAACTATACTGAAGACCGGGCCAGTGTGGTGTGTGTGTGCAGCAGAAGAATCATCACCTTTCCATGTCTTAGATGTTCTCCTAACGCCAAGCAGTGCCGAGCCCCTGGCTGCAGTACAATAACAGTTTATTGTTTACAGAAGTTAACCTTCATGTCATGTCTCTCGGCTTCCAAACTTTGTATTTTTCCATCTTTATAATGTCTATAAGGAACACACAGTTTGAAGCTCAGAAAACTCAGGACACAAAGTAATGGAGACAAAAATGCACCTGGAAGGCAATAAGGTACTATTGGGAATACAAAGACTGAATGCAGAATTAAAATTTCATATAAAATGCCCTAGTAAAAACCCCTCTGTACTTTAGCTATAAGAGTATGCTATACTGACTGAACTTTTTTTTCTCATCCCTATAGTAAAGAGAAACCCTTCTGCAAATAAAAGTGGGATTTTTCTTTTTTTTAAATTGCATGCAGATCTGCTGCAACAACTTGTGAAAACATTGAACAGCATCTTACATATTTTTACAGCAGTTAGTTTTTAGACTGAAAAGCATTTACAAACATTCAAAATAAGGAAGGATCCGCAATTCTGAGGCACTGAACTCTCCATCTGCCCAAGCCCACCCTGGATCAGGCTCAGCCTTCCCTCTCCATCGCCTCCATAGTCAGCACTCTCTGTAACTTCCCTGCGCAACATGCTTGTCTCTAGGCAAACACATTTTCCTGGAGAAGAATCATTCTTCCTCTTGCAGTTTATTTTTCATTCACTTCTTGCCACTAATTTCAGAATTATTTTCCCAAACTGACTTCTGGAGGGGCATTTTAAAATGATTAGGGGACATCCCCCTGCATGGCACTGCAGCCCTGCTCCTACTGCAGGACTCCAGGTGTCCTGGGGGTTACCAGGGAGGGGACCAGCCCCTGCTCAGGGGTCCTGCCCTCACCTCAGCCCCAGGGCTGCCTGACAGACCCTACCGGGATCTGCCGAAACTCCACCAGCAAAACATGCTTCTGCTTCTCCCAAGAGACCTCTCCCTCACAGAATCACAGAATTGTTAGGGTTGGAAGGGACCTCTGGAGATCATCCAGTCCAACCCCCTTGCTAAGGCTGGGTCACCTAGAGCAGGATACACAGGAACGTGTCCGGGTGCATTCTGAATGTCTCTAGAGAGGGAGACTCCGTGACCTCCCTGGGCAGCCTGTTTAGTGCTCTGCCACCCTCAATGTAAAGAATTTCTTCCTAATGTTGAAGTGAAACTTCTTGTGTTCTAGTTTATGGCCATTGCTTCTTGTCCTGTTGCTGGGCATCACCAAAAAGAGTCCGGCACCATCCTCTTGGCACCTGCCTTTGAGATACTTATACGTACTGATGAGATCCTCTCTGTCTTCTCTAGACTAAACAGGTCCAGCTCCTGCAGTCTCTCCTCACAAGAGAGATGCTCCAGACCCTTCATCATCTTTGTGGTCCTCTGCTGGACCCTTTCCAGTAGCTCTTTGTCTTTCTTGAACTGAGGAGCCCAGAACTAGACAAAGTACTCCAGATGTGGCCTCATTAGGGCCAAGCAGAGGAGCAGGATCACCTCCCTCAACCTGCTGGCCGCACTCTTCCCGATGCACTCCAGGATACCATGGACCCTCCTGGCCGCAGGGGCATTGCCAGCTCATGGTCAACCTGTCATCCACCAAGACTCCCAGATCCTTCTCAGCTAAGGCATTACCTGTAGGGACCCAGTGCAGGGGCCTTGGTAGTGCTGATTATTTTCTTCACGAGCGAGGCCATAGCTGGCGCTGGTGCTGCCGTCGGTGCCGGTGTTGCCGTCGGTGCCGGTGTTGCCGTCGGTGCCCGCCCCTCCCCGCCTCCCTCAGGATCCCGCCGGCGCACTACCCGGCCGCCGCCGCCCGCAGGGGTTTATGGGAAGTGTAGTCCCCGGAGCTGGGTGTGTGGGCATGGTGCGCACGCGCCGCAGGGGGCGCATGCAGCCGCGTGTGCTGGTGGAGGTCGCGCCGCGAGTGAGCGCTGGGTCTGTGGCGGTGCCTGTGCCCGCTCCGCCCGCGGCTGCACCGCCCGCCAGCCCCTCCCGCCTCCCCCCGCCACCCAGAGGCTCGGCAGCCCCCGCCGGCGATGTCTGGGGCGCGGGAGAAGAAGCGGGCCAAGAAGATGAGGAACCAGCCGGCCAGCGTGACGCTTCCGGCAGAGCCGGGGCCCTTCGCCGGCGGCGGGAGCAGAGCCTGCCCGCCCCCAGGTACGGCCGGCCGGGTGTCCCCGTCCCCTCAGCCCCCGGTGTGCCCGCCATGGGAGTACCCAAGGCTTCGTCCCCTGCTATAGACTCCTTTAGTCCTGGTGCTGCCATAAATCCCGTTAGTACAGGATTCTCGTTAATATGGGAGAATCGTGGAGTCTCCATCTCCAGAGTAATTCCAAATCCACCTGGGCACGTTCCTGTGTATCCTGCTCTAGGTGATCCTGCCTTGACAGAGGTGGGAGGTTGGACCGGATGATCTCCAGAGGTCCCTTCCGACCCTGACAATTCTGGGAATATGCGCTTCTTTGTATCATCCATTCGATTACACAACAAATCCCTGTGGTTCCTAGTCTTGAAATGAATTTGGGTGTTATATTTCATCCAGCGGCCCCCCTCTTTTTCTGTCAGACCTCGGAGCTGCAGGAGGGGCTGGTTTAGCCTTCTGGCGCTGTGAATAAATGCACTGATTTTCCCTCAGATCAGCATGCCCGACCAGTTTGCCTCTTGGGGCTTGTGGCTCCTTTATCTATGCAAGGATATTGGCAGGAGGCAGCAGGACCTGTCCCTAAAATGGCAGTGTCATTGCTGGAGCATTCTGTACACAGGTAACCTTTGCAGCTGAAGACTGAAGGATCCTGCCAGCTTGTATGCCACATGCTTTTTTCATCTGTCTGTTGACCTGCATCCTGTGTGCTGCAGTTGGACCTCACACACCCTCCCATTTAGATATATTGTTACCTAAAAACACCACACATGAAAGGGCTTGTTACTGTGAGGCCTTCAAAAGATGACAAATTGCGTCTTTGTGGTTAAACAAAAAAATGCTAAAGTGTCACAGTGTATTTAGGTGACTGAAGAGTTCCTAAGCAGACAGAATGACATAGCAAATTGTGCTCAGTCATGTCTGAAGATTTTGGAATATCATTACAGCAGTACTGCCAGATTAAACACATTTTTCTAACTTTATTTGTAGCAGGGAACTTCTAAGATTACATGGTTATGCTTTTCTGTTCTATTAAATAGAGTGGATTTTCATCCATGTAACATTCTTCTATAGTGTTAGTATCACAGTTTTACAGGGCTATTTTGTAGAAACAGGAAAGAAAAATTCTAGATAGGAGTTATAAAACTCTGGATATCCATAGAAGCTGGAATAATTTAAATTTTATTTAGGTGTTAAGTCATTCACTGCTTTTTGAAACACTCTTCCATCTTCTGATAAAATTTTTAGTTCCTCCACTGAGAGGGTGTGCTTGTGATATGAGTTAATTTTGGGCTGTAAGGCTACACAGATTTGCTGACTGAGGCAGCTTCCATGCCTCTTTCCCAACTATTTCCTTCTCACCCTCACCTCAGTGCCTGGACATTGCTGCTCTCAGCCACATGGAAAACCCAAGTCAAGGACTTGTTCTACATAAAAGCTGATTTCTGTTTTCCACACCAAGTTACTTTTTTAGCTGTACTACTGCGGTTCTGCGTGATGTGTGGTTGCAGCAGGCTGTAACAGCATTGCTACTGAACATAAAACTTCAACTTCTTGCTTATTTGAAATGGAAAAAGAAGGTTCTTTACCATTTTTAGTTCACATGAATTGATGCTGCTGGAGGTGAATCTGCTTCTGGCTGTTCTTCATGCCAATGGTAGCATTTTTGAGATGAAAGGACAGGCTTGTCTCACCCCATTTCTCTGCACATACAGATTGATTTTTCACTGGAGAAGTCCCTGAACTGTATGGCCCCATGTTCTCTCAAGCACTCATCTTGATGAAGTGGGTGGGGTGGTGGGAATGGCTGTCTGGGCCCTTTTTAGTTGGGTTTCCAGCTTGAACAGCCTGAGAACCATATTTCAAGCTATACTAGAAATCCTAACCAAGACTTAACTGAATATAAAGTAATCTAAAGTAATATATAATGTTAGTTAGGGTGAAAATACAATAATCATTGAATATGGACTTCATGGCCCTCTTCAACTTTAAGTACTGCTAAGTGCTCTTGTTCTATAGTGCCCGACAAGAATACATTTGCTTATAGGAAAAAAAGGGGGAAGAGGAAAAAATAATTGCTGGTTTGATAGTAAATCCTGACTAGACAATAATAAAAATCACTACTGATGTTGCATGGACTGATTTCAGTCAGGCTCTTGGAGGCAAAGTCTGGATTGGGTACCATTTTCAGAATGTGCAGAAGGTACTTAATCTACTGTAGGCTTGCTGCAGGACAGTGTAAAATTCTTATTTATTCCTGTAAGAAAGAACTTAATTCTTCTGATTTCTTATGGCTTTTTCAGTTACATATATTAAGTATAATAGGAGGAATCTGCAATGCAGTTTCATGAGGAAAGACTGTAGAGTTATTAGTTACTCAGACTGCTTTGCATTTCTCTAACCTCTTTTCATCTCTAAACCTTCCAGGAGATGTTCGTTCTGAGCAGCAGCATCAGCAGCAGAAATTTTCAAATCAGTCAGCTGGGCCTTCTTACAGGAAAGACCAATATTTTCCAAAAGGGCAAAGTAGAGGAGAGAGAGCCAGAGGAAGAGGAGGATGGCAAGGAGGATGCCAGAGTGTTTCTGAGGAAATGCCAAAATACATAACGGGTTTGTATATATGAAAAGGTCATAATTTCATGTCCAGGACAATTTTGCTGGTGATTAAGTTTGCTGTCTGTTTTTGTGCAAGAGCAAAAATTAGAACTGATGCTATGTTCTTCTGTTTTTCCTGATTTTCTCCAAAACACAGAAGTAGATTGTGAATGGAATGAATGACCAGCTGTTGTTCAATGGGTCCTTTCGGACTTCTGAGTTGAAAAGTTGCACCTGCTTGTAGTGAGGGATATGCATTTTGGTTTCTGTTTGCCAGCAAAATGAGTACCGACAGTCATCTGCTTTTAATGTAGCCAGTGAAACTGATTTTACCCATGATGTAAGTTAAAGAAAGCTTTTTATCTAACAGAACGTTTATTTAGGAGAGCAGATTAGCTTTGCAAAATGTGGCAGTGCTCTGATAGTGGATAGACCTCCATAAGCATAAAGCAAGACCAAGTTCTGGATTTTTATTTGATCATTTTAAAACAGTCTATAATGTGATTACTGCTTCCTTTTTTTCTCCACACTGAAATTCTTTTCATCTCTCTGAATATCATCTGAAAAGATTGCTATTTTAATTTAACAAAGAACTGTTTAATGCAAATAGGACTTGTTGGTTATACCACGGCTTTCAGATTCATTCACATATAAATATTTGCTTGAACATATCTGTAAGCTTCAGGATATCTGAAGAATTGAAAATTCCTATTACTGAATAGCGTGCAGTACTTACTTTTATGTCAAGAAAGTATTGAACTGATATACTAGGAGTAATTTCATAATTTATGTACAGTATCCACTTTGTTTTTTGGTATTTGTCATGCTCTGATGCAGTCCTTTTCATTCCAGTGTCTACCTTTGCTCAAGCTCGTGCTGCTGAAATCAATGCCATGTTGAAAGCGGTTTCGCAGAAGTCTTCAAACTCTCTAGTTTTCCAGACTCTACCCAGACACATGCGAAGGCGAGCAATGAGTCACAATATTAAACGCCTACCCAGGCGGCTCCAAGAGATGGCCAGGAAAGAGGTATAAGTGCATTTTACAGCGTTTGATATACTGGGCATAGCTAATGCACAGTGTTCAGCTGTACATTTATTAATATTAAGACCTGAAATTGTCTGCAAAACTTCCCTTTGTACCCTAAAGTTTGAGTGACATTTGGATGCAAAATGCAGAAACACCTCAGTTTTAGGTGTTTGCTCAAGTAGGTCTCATTAACCACTTGGCTTTGTGATTGCTGGACATCTTGAAAAGTTATTAGAGTGGTGTTAAAAGGGTCCACTGCAGGAGGGTTTGTTCAGGTCATGCACTGGTCTCAGGTGGTCCAAGAGTCCACAGTAAGACCTATCTGCCTTGCACCACCACAGTTTTAGGGTGTGACCCTGCTGGCTCAAACCAGCATGGCTGATGGACAGTTCACATGTTATAGCTCTAATGTGGGAGGTGCACTGGGGTTATTGGCAGACTGCATGCAGCTTAAGACTTACTTATTGACTATTCCTAGTAGCTTATGAAACTGATTTTGTGTCAGTATTTCAGCATTTAGTCAGAATATGCCTAGGCACTTGCTCCTTACCCCTTGTAGCTTTCATGTGTGTTTAAAAAAAAATTAAAAAGTTGTTTCGGCAGGATTTTATTAGAAATTATCTTTCTGATGTTTGGCACTGATCACTTTATCATCTCTAGAGACTCCTTAAAGTGACTGAGTTTGCTTGGTAAATTTTCTATGTATTAAGGTTGACTGATAAATGTGTTTATTGCATTATTTTTTTCCATTGCATTGTCTTTCTTAAGTTCTTTGAGACTTTACTGCCTCCATCCTCAGTTCCTGAAGATAATTGTTAGTAGTTCAGAAATTGCTTTGGGTACTTCCTTGCTGCACACCAACTACATATTTCTTAGGATCCAATAACTACATGTTATTGGATCTTCATAACCCATAACTCTTATTTTACTATGTTGGTTAGCATTCTTTTTGCTTTGTCAGTCATGACAAGAGATGCAGTTTGGCCTGTTTTCTGAGAACTGAAGGAAGAAGGTGTGGGCTATTTTGCATAGTTAATTATTTGCTCTATCCTTGTTAAATCTAGATTTCTTTAGTGTCTATGTTCTTTTGTGTCCTGCTTTTTTAACTCCTTCCATGTGACAGCTTGTCTGACTTCTGTGTACATGCTCACACTCTCACATCCATATATGACTCCTGGATATTTGACATTATTTAACTGGCCCTGGTACAGCTGTATTTCTTCTTCTGTATTTTCTGTCTTCAGGTCTTTTGGTGTAGTTTGTGTGTTTGCACAGTCTCTTTTGTTTCATGCTTTCCTACAGCTTGTCATATCTCCATTATTTGCTTTTGTAAAGCTTCTGTCTATTACTTTGCAGTGTTTGAGGTCTACATCTTCAAAATTACCTGTTTCACTTCTGCTGCATTTTCTTCATTTGTCTAAGATGCTTTATCATGACCATTTTCATCTAAACATTTACCCAGACCATCTCTTATCTCTTCAGAAAGCTTAAATATGTATATTTTTCACCTACAATACCACATCCCTTTTTCTCTAATTGTCTTTCTAAGCCAGTCCCCTACCATTGATCCAGTGGCTTGTATTGCCTCCTCTGAGGTGGAATGGTGGGTCTGATGGGAAGATATTTTCTTTTTTTTTTTCAATTTTCATGGGTTACTTCAGTGTTTTCTGTGTTCTTGGCACCAATCTTCTAGGATTCTCTTTCCTTTGCTGTTCTTATAACCAGTGGTCTGTTGTCAACTGTTTCTTGGTGAGCTTGCAAAGGATATCCTAAGAATCTTTTTGTATCTTATAGTCCCTATTTCTTTCTACCACTTCTCTTCACAAAAAGACAAATGAAATGTTGATTGAATCAAGCCTTCCTCTCCAGCCATGCATTCACCCATAATAATTCAGACCTTGACTGGGTCTGGTTATCAAAAATTTGGTCAAGATATCACCACAGTCCTCTCTTACCTGCTTTTATGTATTGTAGAACCCTTAGGGTCCTACCTGACAATCTGAGAGTCTGTACTGCTTCTGTAGGAGCTCAAATCAACTGGTGTTTTTAATGTCACATGGATGTGTTCATGTGAATATACTGATGTGTGGCAAAAACTCAGACAGGAAGTAGCAGATCTTACTGTTCACTGTTAAGTTTCTGAATGCGTGGGGATTTTGTTTTATGTGTGGGTTTCACCCAAACCTTGATGCACTTCCATGGATGTCGCTCGTGTAGAATGTTTCAAAGTGTTAGTTACCCTCAAGAATTATCCAACATCAGAATAAAGTATAACTTAATGTTAGTGCTTCCTGTATCATTATATTTCAGCCTTTTTCTTTTCAGAAGTTTGTTCTCGAGATTTACTTCCATATCCTCTCTTTTAAAAAACAGGCAGAGAAAGCTGTACATCAGAAAAAAGAACAGTCAAAGACTAAATGCCGCAAAGCCAGAAGGCGCCACATAAACTTGGTAGCAGAGTTTAATCGTAGGCAAAGAAAGAATATTTGGCTGGAAACGCATATTTGGCATGCAAAGAGATTTCACATGGTAAAGAAATGGGGATACTGTTTAGGAAACAGCCCTACAGAGAAGAGCTACAGGGCTTGTTACCGAGCCATGACAAAACACTGCCTTCTTCAGGTATCGCGTTTTACATCTGTTTTCTTTGTTATTTTGCCAAGGCGAAGTAATCAACTCTTCAGTTATAATGAATATTTCTGTCTCTTTGAAGTATTGTTGTGTCAGCTGTTAAAAAACCTGCTAAGTATGAAATAAAAGATTTTATAATTGTAATTAAAGGTGGCGAGTATCAGAGAGAACAAGATGAATCTTTAAAAGACTTATGGTAACTGTGACTGAAATACTACATTTTCAGTCTTCTCAAGAGCCAAGAGATTAAGCAAACCCCTGTATCATCTTCTTAAGCAGAATGCTATTGAAAAGAGACACTTTGTTCCATGTCCTTTTTGATCTACTGGTTTGAGAGGAAGTTGACCCTCAAATGAGAAATACTTGTCAGCCTTCCTATAACTAACAATTTTGAGTTGAAAAGAAAAGTAATTTTTCCTTCCTCTTTGACAAATTTTAGAGAATGAAAAAGTAATACTTCAGTGTAAATTGTGAAGCCTTGTCTGGTCCTTTCTTAGCAGGCTCACTTTCAAGAGTTATTCTTACTTTACCACTATCCTGTTGTTTCAGGACTTATCATATTACTGTTGCCTGGAATTGACTGGTAAAGAGAATGAACTTCTGAAGCAACTTACTCGAATATGTAGCATTGACACAGGTAAAATTTATGTAGTTCAAAAGAAAGATTCTGAATAGACTAAAGGATGATCCATCATCTTCCTTTTTTAATAATGTACCAGTCTCAGTAACAAAGTTGATACTGAATTGTGTTTTTGGGTGGAAAACATAATTAAAATGTGTCATACTAGGACTAGACATTCTTATTTTCTTATTAAGTTGCTTATTAATAAGCTAATTACGGTACAACATCTTACCTGAATTTCAATTTTATTTTGTTTATTAAACAAGAGATTATTTTATTTTTCAGTAAGTGTGGTCTCTTTTAGGATTAACATTTCAAGAAGCTTGTTGTCTGTCTGGAAGATTCGAGGGTTCCCTGAATCTCTACCGAGCAGATCGCTATCCTGAGGAGATGCTTGGTCCTGTTACATTTATTTGGAGACCCAGGGATGGGTCTGAACACAGACAGTTGTGGATATGGGTTCATCCAGCTCTAAAGCAGGTGAGTTTTTTTATATAGTTGAACTCTTATCTTTTTATGCATTGTACATATTAATGCTGAAGATGTCATCTGAAAAGTATGGAAGAGTTGGATATAATACATGACTTTGGAAATTAAAGGTCGGAAAACTGTTTCTGCTGTAGCAATATTCATGTTCTGCAGCTTGTTTTTATAAAGGTGGTACAGAAGGTGGATGCTGCTGAGGCATTTACTGTTTGAGCTTGTTAAAAGTTTTGTAGTGTCACTTGCTTCAGGATACATGTGCAGTATGATGTTGCTTGATTCACATCCTTTGCATTGGCACCCCCAACAGGCTAAGTTTAATATCATCACAGGTAATCATAATCTGATACTTAGCTATCAGCTTTAAAAAAAAAAATTAAAAAGTAAAACGTGCGCAAGCAATTTTTCTTATGTTAATTTACATGAGAACAAATTCTTAGTAACATTCAATATTACTTTCAGGTTTTGTTAGCAAGCCCTTAAATTCAGCACAATTAAGTTTATTCCTTTAAATCCAAATAGGAAAATTAAATAATATAGTGTAATTTTTTCGAAGTGTACTTAAGTTTTGCAGGGCACTGCATATCATCCTAATACAAACTTTGTTTTTCTTAAGGACATACTGAGGGAGTTAAAAGCAATTTTTCAGTGTTCGGAGCCTGAAGAAATCTGTATTACTGAGCCTGTTACAACATCAATTCAAGAGGAAAAAGAAATGGAGGTTGTTATGAGCCCTGGCAAGAAAAGAAAGAAGGAGGATAAAGAAGGAGAAAAAGTTGTGCCAGTTAAAAAAATAATTGGTGATGGCACTAGAGATCCATTTCAGTCCTACTCTTGGATCTCACAGACTACTGGTATTGGAATCAGGTTTGTTCATAATAGAGTCAGAAACTGTGGCCTATAACTACATAACATAGCTGCTTTAATAGTGTACTGGGGAAAAAAAATGTATGTTGTACATTCACTTGAAATTTTTCTCTTTCAGTGACAGAAGCATGGAGATTCTCAGATACAGGCTGATTGGCCCGTTGTCACATTCAGTCCTTACAGAGACCCTGAAAGCTGCTTCTGTCCAAACAGTAAGGAAATTGGCAGTTTGGATGTCAGTGTAATTTCAGTAATGTTCCTAGCATGTGCAAGCTTGTTTTGGCTAGAAATAACCATAAATTATCTAGCCTTACTTATTATAAAGGCTAACCTGTGTATTGCTCTTGTTATCTTCTCTATATTGGGTCTCTTGATCAATGCTGATCTCAGGAAGAACTCCTATCTGGATTTTAAGTGGCGGTAGGAAGAAAATAAAAATAATGGTGCTGTTGAGCAGGCTGTGTAGTTTCTGCTGTAGTGATGTATTCTGCTGAGAGGTCCAGAATAATTTGTGTTCTATTTGACAAACCCTAGACCGTTTTCTCAAGCAATGAGCTAGAGCACTAGAACTAAAGGGCAAACTTTTGTGTTTTCAATCAAATATTCAGTTCCTCCAGGATGTGGGGGTTTTGTGTGCCTCTTGGCACATGATATCACTGTGGTTTTAATGGTGGGGGGGTTTTTTTGTCTCTTGCAGCAAACATGATGGGGGCCATGAAATTTCTGGCTTTCTGTAAGAAATAGTGACAGAATTAGGAAGTATTGTGCATTGCTTTTTTATTTTTGGAACATGGGTTAAATTGAACAGCTTATTAGGGATTACTGTAAAGTATAGGACTACATTGAATCATGAAAAAATTATTTTGGTTTAAAACATGAAGGGAGAGAAAATGACTGTAGTGGTTGAGGCAAACTAAGAGTGAATTCACACTGATAGAAAGTAATAAATAACCATTTGAGTTTAATTAGATGTGTTGTTTTCCAGGAGATGGCAGACTCAGAGACGGAACTGAATAACTGGTGGGTAGAAAACTGCAAGGACTCTGAAAAAGTATCTCTTCATCAATGTCAAAGTGCTATCTTTGAGCTACTAGAAGGTATTTGGGCATGTGGGCGCTATGGGAGGAAGGGGAAACTCTTAAAATCTAGTGGTCAGAATTGACATGTTAATGAGTTGACTTCAGTGTGGGCATGCTTATTTTTTGCATGATCCAGAAAGTGATGCCTTTGAGAATGTGCTTAGGTAATTACCATGGCATGGCAAAGAATTAAGAAATGTTACATCAGAGTTTTTAAGGGAATTTAAATCATCTGTGTAGTCCAAACTCTTAATAGATAAACTGAATCTTGTTTGTTATCTTTGTAAACTTAGATTTGAGATTGCTGATGGGATACACAGTCTGATGTATGCTCTTACTCCCTCCCCTCGTACACTCAAATTAAGACAATAAGTTGTACAATACCTCCCCAGATAAAATGGTAGTCTTCTACGCAAAGTGAAAGTATTATAACTTGCTTTATAAATGTTTGCTTCTAATTAACAGTTGTATATTTGGCTGAATTTTAAAGTATCATAAAGTTAACAACATCTCCTCACTTTCTAGCACTGAAGCAGGTAAGGAACTGGCTTTGGTAGATCTCACACTGTACTCAAGCTGTCTATCCAATGTGAGGCAGTTAAGCAGAGATGAGGTAAATCTTTTACAAAACGTTTCTAAATTTCCTTTCTCTGGAAGACAAGTATAAAACAAAGGTTGTTGGTTCTTTGATATGTGCCAAATGCAAAGGATGAATTGAGCATGACCTCACTTCTGTGCTTAAAATTAAATGCAAACCAAGTCTTGCCTTGCTGTTGTTGACTTCCTTGGTCTTGGACATTTAACAAGCATTGGTGAGTTTTCAAAGCATTAAATAGAGTACTCTGGATTGCTTTGCTGGCTTAGTTGGTGTCACATCCCTGCAGGCAAAAAATGCATAAAATACTAGTCCAGAAAAAGATCACAATTGGTGCTTTCATGGCATTGTTCATCTGTGTGTTTTTAAAGGGATGAGTTCACCATCAGAAATGCCAGCAGGTACAATTCTTGGCCTAACTGTTGGAGATCCTCGAATCAATTTGCCAAAAAAGAAGACAAAAGCCATGCCTGACTTTGAAAAATACCAAGGTAAAATGCCTGGCTTATATTATGCTTCTTGTGGAACTGACAAAGGGAGGAGTTTCAGTTTCTCTCTACACTTCTTTTTATTTACTGTCATCTCCTGTGGATTGTCTCTTGCTGTTTTCCTTTAGCTTTTGATTTTCAGAATGTTTCTTTCCCCTTTCCACAGCCCCTGGCCAAACAGAAACAGCTTGAAAGTTGCCTAGGTTTTAGAACAGCAGTTGTGAGGGAGGGACATGCACCAAAGCTGGTCTTGTGCTCAGTGGAAGCCTCTGTCTGACCATACAGATGATCCAGGTTCGAATCCTGGCAAGGCCAACCAGGTGCTAAAAGCTGCTTAGTAAGTTTTTGTTTGTTGTTTAGTCTTCCTGATGCTGTCTATCTCTACAAGAAGATATCTGCTATTTCTGATTTATAGTCCTACAGTGATGAAAGTTCCAATTTCATTGGGAAAAAATAATAACATTGCAGGATTAGTATTTCAGATGGCCAGGATGTGGTTATGCTAAAAAATGAAAGATGCAAGCATGACTTCTGAAATTTTCATTTCAGTGCTGACTTACACAGGATTTCAGTGCAAAATTCAAATTCAGCTGGTTGTGAACATTCTTGAAAAATGTGCAAGAGTTTATACCATGGGGTTTGTGCACAGTGCTGTGTAGGCATTCCCAATTAGGTTGAGTGGACACAGGTTGCCTGACCTAATATACAAAACATCCTTGCCAGCTAGCAAGCAGTAGCACATAGGATAAGTTGAAAGTTCCAGAGACTTAAAAATACTTAATTTCCTTGGTGATGTGTCTAGTGAAAGACACTAGAATAATGTAGTCCTACCTTTCACTTAAATCAGGTTGAATACCTACTGCAGTTACTATCTTTTAGCTCTCTGCACAATTCTGTTATTTTCATTTTCTTACATCCTCCAGTTCTACATCCTAGAACAGCCTTTCTGTTAATTATTTCTGCTGAGCTAAGTTTCTCATCATTAGTGTTCCTGTTGGAAATGCTGCAGCATACATGACCTCTACTTTGGTTCCTTCCTGTTGAGAAGTCAGGTGAGCAATGTATCACTTGTTTAAGGATACTGGTTTGAGCTGATAGAGGAGTTAGCAACTGCAAAAAGTAATTTGACTCCCTTCATTCTGCTTGCCATGTCTGAAGATGTGTTCAAGAAGGCAAGATCGAGAGAAGGCATCTAGGTATTGGAAATGTCTTAAAAGTAGTTTCTCTCTTACTGCCAGAGCTGTTTGTCCCTCAGAAAGTATGGTCATGGTAAAGACGTAATGATGTAAGATAGGGAATCAAGAGGACCTTTGTGTTTTTCCTGGGGCTAGCTAGAAATGTCCATCTTCAAGATCTTTCTACCTGGGGTTATCCTTTACTTACAAAAAAAATCTTCCAAACCGCAAGTACTCAGAAAACTTGGTGTTGCTTTCTGGTTTCTTTCTGAGTCTTTTTTTTGTTTCATCATGAAGTCAAAGCTGCTTCTGTCCTCTCTGACTTTTATTCAGGAGGGGGAGAAGGTCCTTGTTCAACTAGCAAGGGAAGGTAAACTGCCTAATACCTTCCACTTTAGATTCTGCTAAATGACTTATTGTTACACATGCCTGAAAAAGTTGAGGAGGCAGAAAAATGAAAGAAGACAGACAATACAGCTGTGTTCCAGTAGGAAATCAAAAGGATGTCACGGTAAGAGAGTAGAAGAGGAGAGGACAGCCCTCCTACGTTCTTGTAACTAGGGAGAGAATAGGAGGAACTGATGGTTTAGCAGGGAAAGTGGCAGCTGTTTTCTACATTTCCCACCTAAGTTTGACTTTCTCATGCTGCGTGGGAAGAATCATTCACAAGCTCCTGCATACGTATTACACGTGCAGTGGGGGAATCCTGTGGCGCGGCAGTTCACATCTCAAGACTGGGGTCTAACTGCCACTTTCCTGTTTCCCTCAGAATATTCTTCCACGTTAGTTGGAAAGAGAGGCTATTGTTACTCTCTAAAGACTTTTGTTCTTAACCTAATTTTGTAGTTGACTTTGTGTCAGCTACTTACCTGTGATTTATTTCTGCCTTAATGAGCCTCCTTGTTAAAGTAGTTAAAAGCAGAGAACTTACATTTTTTTTAAAATCCTTCTAGAAAATTAATCTACGTTAAATATTTAACTCAGATACTTAGATAATTTTCTAATCAGGAGAAAGCATTCCAGTGCATTTGGTTCTTGTTGTTTTTGAAAGAAAAAGTAAAATTGCATATGTATTAATAAAAGGAAACCTAGACATAATTGTGCAGAATCCATTTTATGTCCAATCTGTTCTCTGTGCAATCATTACACTTTCTTGCCTCAATTCACTGTTTCAGGACCCATTATAAGGTCATTCTGAATTCAGACTAGTTTATAATCTCTTCAGAGCACGGGGTCTTGTTGCCTATTTCACTGCCTTTATACATCAGTTAGAATCATAGAATCATTTAGGTTGGAAAAGACCTCTAAGATCAAGTCCAACCATTAACCCAGCATTGCTAAGTCTATTACTTTGATTTTTTCTTTTTTCCTGTAAGCCTCCTTGGTTGCCTGACAGGTTTGCAGAAGTTAAAATCAGTTAAATATATGAAGAAGAACCTATTGCAAGCCACTCAGTGCAAAAGAATCACCTCTAACTGAAGAAGTTTGTAAGCCACAAGAGGCAAGGAACTGGCAGAGTGAAGAAATGCAACACAATGTACTGATTCTAGTGTTGTACTCTTCCCTAGGACCCTATTATTGGCAACACTTGAATCAGATGAGTGAAATATCCAGCAAGAATTTCATCAAAAGCAATGTATTCCTAAAGATTATTCTAGTTTGACTTAGCATTTTCACTAGTATTTTTCCAATCAGTTCTATCCCCTCATTCTACTGGTTCTTTTGCCAGGAGTAACCTGGGAATGGAGACTGTCCTCCTCTTCGCTTTTTTTTGAAGGACAATTTGTTCAACCAGAAAAGGAAGGAATTTAATCATGGCACATAGCATACATCACTACAGCAGTAGCATTATCAGCATTTCCACAGTAACACCCACCCAGAAAAAAGTTAGGCTTCTCTAAGATCTGTAATTCCATTTCAATGGTATTAGTTTTCCCCTTCTGTAAGAAAAAAAAAATCTTTTTATAAGCCTTAGAACTACATAAACTTTCTGAGCCTTGGTTGTGTTGTAGCCTTACTCAGATGTGGTAGTATTTTCAGCTGATCTCAATTTAAAAAATATTAATAGTCATTCATTTGCCTTAATGACTTCATGTTGGTTAAGCAATAGAAAGGAATCATTTCTGTATTCCACACTTTCCCCCCATTTTTCTTCCCAGACACTCAAATGCTATTAGGATTGGTATTAGTAAGATTGAAATGCCACTGCTTATGGTAGCAGATTCTGAATGTACTTTAGCCTTTCTTTTTCTTCAGTGTCATATAAAAGCTAACTGATTTTCTTAGACAATCTTTACTAATTTGCATTTGTTTGTCAAATGAGTGAATAGTTTAGGTAAGTTACAGCCATCATCTTTGCTTGTGGATTGTCATACGTGCACTCTGTGAAATTGATACACATCTCTCCATATTGCTTTTTTTTCCAAAATGTTGTTCTAAGGTATGCCTGAGTAGTTTTTCCCTGTGAGTGACATGCCTGAGTAGTTTTTCCCTGTGAGTGACATGCTAACAAATCAAGTGTAATTCCAGTCTTTCCCAGTTACTCACACTCTTGAATGCATATGCATGTGTGAAAGCTGTGTGTTATGGACACGTGCTGATGGAATTTAATCAAAAAACTGTCCTCATTTCTTCAGGCTGGAGGATAAATCATTTTTCACTGCCTTCTCAGCAGGTTTATGCCTTCTGGAAGTCAAGGCTTCCCCATAAGCAATCAGTTCTCACATGACTGCACGTTAGTGCTGTTCTTTTCTCCAGTTTAAAGTACACTTCTGACATTTTGATATGTATTTGCTGTCTTCTGTGGAAGAAAGCAAATTCCACAACCTTAAAAACCAGTCAGCGTGGAGTATGGTGAAGCTTTTAAATGATACATATAGATGCATGAATGAGATGCACAGAAGGAAAATACACCATGAAAGATATATGAGCTGAAGTTCCTTCTGCAGACACAGAGCCTGGGTCCTTGCCTGTAAACACGTCTCTTGCAGAATTTCAGGTATCTGTCCTCAGTTGTCCTGATACACAAACCCCTATGTACATAGGACTCTGAAACTGCTTTTTTTTTTTTTTTTTTTTTTGCAAAAGGGAGGAAAGAGAATTTTCAACTCTTAGGCCTGTCTTCTAAGACTATTCAGATAATCAGCTATGCAAATCAGATCAACAGCTTGAAATGGAACAAAACCTCCCTCTATCTGTTTGTGTTGTCTAAGCACCAACCATTGACACCAGCAGAAGTAGCCTGTCACTGAGCTTTCTGTGCTTAGTAATGCAACTTCTTGTTTCTTATACTAGCCCTAACATCTTTCACTATCATCAGCAACTTATTCATCAGTAGGGTTATTTCCCCAGCAATCTTAAAATGTGGACTGAAGAAAACGGGAGAGAGGTAAGAAATAAGAACTGGTGTGAGAGTCTGGGATTATGATTTGAATTACAGTATGCTTAGTAGAAAGAATAAATTCTCCAAGGTAGTGGGGATCAAAGAAAAGAAAGTACCAAGTTAGAGAAGAGTATTTTAAGGAAGTGAGGAAGATATTGGATGCATGGTGGTGATGGAAAGAGAATGACTTAAAAGGGCTTTCTGTAGTGGGAAAAAACGTTCATGCCATTATAGTGTACAGGAATTGTAAAGAACTCCAAGAATATGACAGGGATAGACTACCTGAACTGTGGTAATAAAAAGAAATGTTAAAAAAACCCACAAAAAGTTACAGTGAATAATTTACAATGAAGGAACTAGAACGTGTTTAAATGATTTAATATAAAGAGATTCTGGTGGTCACAAATGCTTTCTGTACAGAAGATAGAAAAGGTTCATTCCTTACCTTATGTTTGCTTGTAATTATGTGCCCTAAGTCACATAGTAAGAGTCAGAAAGGAATTCCCCACCACCACTACCTATAGTTTTATTGCTGTCTTTTCTCCTTCCTTTGGGGCATTGATATTTGCTGTATCTTCAGATAAAATGTGCTTTGTCTCTAGGAGTGTTGAGCTCTCTGAGGTTCTTAATCAGGTTCCTGTCCTTAATTTTTGGTCTGAGAAGGAATTCTTCTGGCTTAATTGGCAAGAATTTCTTTTTAGTTGTATTGTTCTTAATTTGGAGAAATGTCACCCTAATCTGATAACTTCTTTAGCATTTCTTCTCACATAAATCTAACTCATTAGCAAGAATGCATAGCAAGTATCAACTTGATAACACTACGAAACTGTCACGAATGGTACCATAGGTAATATTTTTTGCAAAGGATTTTGCAAATTTTAGTAATGGGGACATCTTTAAGAGTATGGATTTTAAATAAACAGTTACTGCAGTTATGTTTGACAGTACCTATTGTATTGTTATTACCACTGAATAGTCCCTATCTTCTGTGCTTCAAGTCTTTGTCAACATTACCTGGAAAAATTAGTGGAACCATTTTTAAAAGACTTAAGTAATTTTAAAAAAACAAAACAAACCCTGACATGTTCTGTTCCTTTAATGTGTAAGACCTTGTAGATGACAAAATGAGGAGCAGTCACTCTAAGTTTTAATCACAGAACTATTAATAGGTTAATTGAATTATTTATGGATAAGAATTATTTTACTTAAAATATGGATCAGCATACATTACATACTGTACACTGAAGGCTTTTAATCCACAGATCACTAAAGGTAGGTATACACTTTCTTTGCTTTGCTTAGATCGCAAAACAGAAGAGAGAGGGTATTTAATACTTCAACATAAGTTTTAAAGCTAGAAGTGTTATTTATCGTCAGTAACGTACACAACTGTTGATTTGTACAGACATAAGGAAGAATAGTCCCTTCCTTGAAGTGCAGGGTCTGAAAAGATCCAGAATGGAAAGCTAGTGCTAAATAAGTAGTTGCATGCTAGTCATTTCCATACAAATATTTCCTGTATGTACATTTCTTAAAGGTAATGCTCACTTTTCTTACAAGTTTACTTAGGCAGACTTATTTCAGGATTTGTAATGTTACTCTTCCTGATTTTCTGCAAACCTGTTGAATTTCACACTCTGCCTGAAAGGTCAAATTCCAGAACATTAAAGTTGGCATGTAAAGATCTAATTTAGATTGCCAAAGGTGTTGTCATTTCTAATAAGAAATGCTGGTAAAAAAAATGCCAGGTTAGTTCTTCTAACAGTTTGTTTTGTATTTGGTATTTGGAAAAACATGATAGGAACCTACTCCAGAAGCAGTGATGCTTGTTAAGCTTTTAATAGTCTTTCCTTGGTTGTCTACCCATAGTACTTATGATAGTGCAGTGATTTTGGAAATTTGATATTTAAACCACAAAAATTGTTTGAATTTTGTTTAAAGGTTCTTTTCTTTTCTAGATAAAGTTAGGCAGCTGTACCTGGAGGGTGTACCCCTAGACTGTGCTCACAGCTTTATCTGGGACCAGGACATCTGTAAGAACGTCACTGAAAATAAAATCTCAGAGCAGGTAACTAAGTAGGTGGATTGCCACAGAGAAAATGGCTAATGGTCCTTAGAGTCCATAGAAAGAGGCTCTTGAGACTTGTATAAATCCAAGGTCGATCAGTAGTTTCCTAATGTCATAGTATCCAGTTGCTGACTTGAAGTAACTTTTTGTAGCCTTTGTATAATGTTCTTGCACAATCATTTTTCACGACTCAATTAAAAGAAAGCTTTATTGCATTGTCTACAGGACTAAATAGTTGTAGGTTTATTTATCAGAAGAGTTCGGAATTAGATTTTCCTACATCACCTTGACTCAAGTGCAGCAGATAAGAGGGATAAGTGGCAGACAGAGGCTCTGGCCTTTCACTCGTAGCCGGGATTATTCTCCTGATAAAAGAACCACAGAAGTTGGAAGGAAATAAATCCTCTGGTTCTGAACTGCAGCACACTATGCTGTGGGCATTCTGGGCAATAACTCGTGATTTGTAGAGAACTTTAAATTTGCTGTTGCAGGTTTGAAATCTATCTTGACATTTTCATTCACAATGGAGGAGCAGCCCATAGAGTTTGTGGGTGAATTGCACTTTATGTGGTGGTTTAGTCACAACAGGTGATAAACTTTCAGCACCATTGTAATCAGAAAGAGTAAACACTTGCATGGCAGAAAGATCCTTATAAATATTCTCTTTATGAAAATTAGTTTTGTGCTCTTTCAAACTGGCTGACATAGTGTTAAAAAAGGAGAGTACTTGGAAAATATTGCGCTAGCACATGACAGTTGTCAGCACAATCTTTTTGTAGATGACAGTGTTTTTCATGCTATCATGAAATTTAATGTTTACCTTATAAAACAGAGGGAGTCTGATGGTCTGTTTTTTATAAATGTATTCTTAATGTAGTACAATGGAATATAACAACTGGTGATTGACAAAGCCTTGGTGCCAGCATGCTTTATGTGAAACTGTTTCATGACCAAATGTTCTTCCCATCTCCTTGAATGTAGTTCAGATTTGCTCTGTGTATTGACAAACTGTCTGAAAGCACCTGTTCAGTCTAGTCTTGTGCACAAATCTATAATACGATGTTGCAATGTTTGTTTTTCCTCCTTCATTTGTGTTGTACCTTTTTTTTCCCTGAGTTTCAGTACCTGCTCTCCATCAAGGACTACAGAAGTAAGAAGAATGATAAGAGGGTGCTTGATACTCTTCTAAAATAATTTTTCATACCCTGATAAAATTCTGTTAAAATATATAGTATATTACTAGAATATTTTTCCTAACTGTAAGCTCAGTTCTTCTTTGTATCTTGGAAGGGTATCTGGAAGAGGGAAGAAGAATGGTTACTAACTTCTGGGAAATGTCTCCTCCTTCTCAGGATTTAAACCATATGAGAGCTCAGTTACTGGTACCTGGATCACACCTTGATTTGGGTCCTTGTGAATCTAAGATTCCCATACTGTTGGTGCAGCAGCCAGGGAAAATGGCTGGAGAAGATCGACCAGGATGGGGCAGTGGCTGGGATATCTATCTCCCAAAGGGCTGGGGCATGGCTTTCTGGATTCCTTTTGTAAGTGACTTGGATGCCAAATTGCAAGTAAATATGACAAATAGTTTGGTTTAAATTAATCGATTTTAGAGAGTATACTTCACATTGTATAACCAATTCACAATTACAGGATCAAAATCCCACTTTAAAAGAGCGCATATGAACCGATTTGATGACTGAAGCTTGGCCTTGAAACTTTAAACAATATCTTCTGTTGGGTATAACTATGTCCACATAGCAGCATCTAAAAGCAGCAAGTCTGTGGGGAGTCAGGAGAGGAAGCTGAAGCTATAGCTCTCTGGTTTTGTGTTTCTGCAGGGATATGCCTCTAAAGAGAAATCATTTGGTGCCTGCTGCTAATCTATTTCCAGCTTGGCTATCTCCACCTCTGTCAACAAACTGGTTGCCTCTGATTTGGGAGAGAGCTTGAAACACAGAATTTGAGTTAAGCTTGAATACTCCCCTGATGCTGTTTGGAGCATCCTGCTTTGAATGTTTAGGTGGCAGTTTTAATATCTTTCTGCAGTTAAATTTATGCTTTTGAATGTGCAGGGGCATTAATTGCAGTGATACCTGTTGTGTGGTATAGATTGGGCAGTGACTGTTGAAGTATTACAACATTCCTGGCAATGTACAGGATTAGAACCTGTGAAATTCTTTTCAATTTCATTGATAGTTTTTCAGAATTAAATTTAAAGAGCATTGCTAACATTTTTGTTGAAATAGGCATGTATAACTGTAGAAACCATACTTAAGTTTATTTTTTGAAAGCTAAAGTGTTAGACTTTCAATTTTCTAAGGCAGTACCTTCTGGAGCATTAATATTTTTGTTTCAGTTAGGAAGCTGGAATCAGTACAAACATTGCTTTTTGGGTGTTTGGTTTTTATAACAGATATATCAAGGTGTACGTGTCGGTGGCTTGCAAGAAGCATTAAAGCATTCTGAATATCAAAGAACACCTCACACTCCAAATGATTTCCCAGACTGCCAGGCAGGAAGGCAGTTTGCCAAAGAACTGGAAACCAGTCTTCTTGAACAATTCAAACGGTAATATTAACTTAAAAATTAATTACAAGAATGACAAAAAGGAATACTGCTTAAAATATTCCCTTAATTATCTGTCATTGTGTTCATTTAAACTTGAACTTAATATTGACATCTTTCACTAATGTTTTAAATCTTATATTATAAAAAAGAATCCTAAATATATTTAACTCTGCTAAACAGGGCATACGAATTAAAACATTCTATTCCCAGAGACACGCTCAGTTATAGGACTGTAACAAGGCTGCAAAACAATAAAATAAACAAAGCTATTCCAAGTTCCCTAGGCAGAAAATGAGGGAGGAGGTAAGAGAATGCAGAGGCAGAATACCAAAGTACGTACCAAGTGTTAAAGAATAAAGTGAATTAAGAAGTACATCTCAATGTGTACTTTTAAAATATCAGGTATTCTGAAGTTTTCCTTCATTTTCGCTGCAACAAACACAAAACTCTTAACCATGAGTGCGGAGCAGCTGGAAGTGTCCTCTGCACCAACTGGTGTTGGTTCCCCTTCAAGCCAGGAGGGCAACGTAGGAGAAGGTCAGAGGAAAAGGTGGTGGTGTCAATCACAGCACATAGACATTTCCAGCTGGCTGAAAGGATATGGTCGTCAAACATACAGCAGTGTTTTCTAGATTGTAACTTTAAAATTCTTGTTCAATGAGATAACAAAGGGAATGCAGAGTTAACTTTCTGCTCTAAATACTTGATTTTGAAAACAGAAAACATTATTAGACTAGCAGGAAAAAGTAGACAGCCTTTTGAAGTGCTAAGTACTGAGTAAAGGCCCAGGAAACAAATATTCTTACCTACTTACTTGGTTTATAATTTAGACGTCCACCTGCAAAAAGGGCAAATTATGTCAAGCTGGGCACTCTATCTCCTTTCATCTGTCCTTGGGGGCAGCTGACAAAGAACTGGGAAGGAAGAATGAAAGCTTCAGGAGGATTTGTACGTCCTTCTTCCTCACACCCCGAGTGCTGCACAACTGAAGGGCATAATTACTGTGACCCCAAAGCAGAAGTGGTCAGAGAAGCTTCCCCTGAAACTGGTGAGGTAGAGGAGACCATGGAAATAACAAGTTCTGAAGGTGCCCTAAAACCAGAGGATGTTACAAGCACCCATGACCTTGGTGAGAGAGATGAAACTAAGACAAGTGACTTTATTGTTCTCAGGTATGTCAAAATGATACACACATGTTATTTCTTTATTGGCAATTATTGAATTGAGGAAAAGAAGAGCCCAGCCTTGAATATTAAGATAAGGGAATTATTTGATCCAAATACAGTGAGATTAAATAGTTTTGCATGGATCAGAATTTCCCATTGAGTGGAAGTCCTTGCTTTTCCCCAGCAAACTTAGTGACTAGATGAAGTAAATTCCTGAAATTATTTTAAATATAACACTCTGGAGTTTACTGTGTTTACTTAGAGTTGGCGTATTCTGGCTGCTTCCAGGTGGATGGAGCTTTTAGAGGTTCATGTTTTTGATTTTAAAACTGTTGCTGTGAAAATAGTCTTGCATTCTCTTCTGTAATACATCATCACAGGTGGTTCTTGCACTCCAAAGAAAATAGAGAATCCCCTGCATTCCAGTGCAACGCATGAGGGCAGCAACAGTGTTTGGAAAGTGCCTGAATGCAAGACTTAGTGTAGTTTTGTGTAGTTACCAGAGAAGAAAACATTGGAAGTTCTGGACTGCATTAATGTCACTGAAGGTTTTAGAGTATTTGTGGTTTAACAAGTTTTGAGGGTTTTAACAAGTAGTGTCACCTTCCTTCTGAAGAAGACACAGGAATTCCATTCCCCCATGTTCTTTTTGTGCTCAGAGTGATCTGAAAAACCCAGGGTTTTTATTAATCATTCTCTTGCAAATATGTGGGGTGCTGGATTTCTGTCGTACTGCTTGTTAATAACTATCCATGATATTTATTTTTGAAAATTTTTAATAGGAGTGAGAAACTACTAATGCAGTTATCAGCCTGGTGCTATCCCACTGCTGGAAAAGATCGGCGAATCCGTCTTATTTCTCGACTGGGACAGAAAGAAATGACTGAAGATGTTTTTTTGCCAATCCTGACGAGCTATCCAAGGGCTCTTGTCTGGGTCAACTTGTCACTCTTGAGAAAGGGGAACCCTGAATTACATGCCATGATTTGCATCCCAACAGAAGACGACTTGCTGCATCTAAGCAAAGACAAACTCTTCTGTGGTCCTCAAGAACCCAAACATCGTGACATATTCAAGGACAAGGTGCAGAGACAAAAAGAAGAGAAGAAGAAGAAGAAAAAGGGTGGCATGAAGGCTTTAGAAGGTGACCCTCTGAGCGTTCCAGATAAAGACACAACTGAAGACCACAAAGACCTCATTCTTGGTCTTTGGTCAGATGCTCTCCCAGATGTTACTTCCCACTGCTCCAGGACTGTCTTGGGATATGTCACTCGAGGGGATTTTTCATTGGCTGCAGGGTGTGGAGAAGCTCTGGGTTTTGTTAGCTTGACAGGGTTAATTTATATGTTATACAACCAGCCAGCAGATAAGAAAGGGCTTGTTTTGTTAAGGACTCCAGCATCTTTACAGTACAGATTTGCAAGACTTAATATTGAGGTTTAAGTATAATTGCAACGCAGTAGAATGCCAAAATACCAAAGAATGCCTGTATTGTACTCTGTGGCCTTTCTAATTTGTCTCAAATTTGAGGTTATTCTGAGCCCCAACATCTCTAAGATTATAAAATAATTAAAAGGCTTTTTAGCATTATTCAAGAAAATAACTAATGCATAAACAGACCTAGTATTACTTTTGATGTCTGCATTGCTAAGGATTTCTAATGGGTCATTATCACGATCTTCTTTATCTCTAAAGAAGCATATTCTTCATTTTTCTCCTCAAAGCAGTGGATGCTGTAACAATATACAGAAACTCATCATTTTCATTTTAGAAACTTTTGGTCAGATGGACTGTAGCTTCACAGTGCACTTTCACATGTAACTGCATGCAATCTGATCCAGTATATATAGCAAGTGGCTTTCCTGATTCCTCGTACTTGAATAGATGTGGCTGCAGTGCAAAGGAGCCGAGTAGAGAAACTTTGAACAGAAAGTTTAATACTTAAATGAATGCAAATAATATGTAGCCCAGCTATATAATTTTGAATTATAGGAACTGGAGTTTTTAAAATGGAAAGCATATCAGTCTCTCTCTCTAGTCTGAAAGGTAATAAGCTTTTCAGATGCAAATTGCTGGTGGTGGGTCAGCATACATTTTCTGTTAATAATAGAGGATATTTTTCTTCCTTATAACATGAGATTATTTTTGTATGGAATGTGCTAGGGTTGAAAGTTTCTTCATGTTACAGTATGGTTCATGAATGTTGTTCAAACAGTCAAAATTTGTAAAGCATGCTGGGGGATGAAGGGAGAAAGGTGTTTGAATTCACTGGGGCAGTGTGTGTAGGTTATTGGGTTTTGGTGTTCTGTTGGGTTGTTTTATGATAGCCTTAAGCATTTAGCCATTCTTGAATTAAGCAGCTTGAAAAGGAATTTACAACAGTACGCTGTAGTTAGTAGCAGCATGATACAATATATGCCAGATGGTAAAATTACCCTGAAATTATAATGTACAAATAAAAACGTAATCTATTCTTGAGTCGGGAGTCTATTGACTAAGCTTGATTCTTAGAGAAATTAAACATGGATAAGTAACAACCTTGTCTTTCTAAGTATCAGTCTGCAAATTAATTCTCTCACAGTTCTGTTTGAAAGTCTTAGGTGATTAGATTAATGTTGGCTGGAGTTGTTGGAGAAAGGATTTAGCATGCTTTACCCTCAAAATTATTAAAATTTAGACCATTTTTTGATTAAATATAGCATATACATGGGGAAGGGGCGAAACCATCTCTGATCACAAGGGAAGTATTGGAAGTGGGGCTGGATTTGGGTTTTTTTAAGTCTTCAGAATATGGATTGTAGAATGTGCACCATCCGTGGGAATTAGAGTGGCATGTGGGACAGAGAAATGGAGCCTCCAGCACAGCTTGGACCACAGCTCCGTGAGAAATCGTATCAAATGGCTCCAGCACCACGCACCTTTGATGCACCTGATAAACCAATCACCCTCCCGGAAAGGTCCTGAGAAGCATCTGCAGGAGAGCCAGCAGATGGCCCCAAAGGAAAAAGCTTGGTTCTGGCAGGGCTGGGATTCGCATGCTTCTGGCCGTGTGAGTGCTGCAGCCTGTAGGTATGTGTGAATAAGGAGCCTCTTAAACGTTACAGCCTGGCTGCTCTGATCAAGTTCTCTCATGGTAATAATCCTGAATTTAATGAACTATTTGAATTGTAAGCCCCATTGAAATATTTGTAGGATCACGTTTCCAGAGCTGTGCTTCATGGGAAGAAAAGAGGGGAGGTGATGTTTGTGTGTTTTTTTCCCTCGTTGCCTCCCTCATCTTAGTAGATACATATTTTCTTACCTCACTGTAGACCTGGCTTGTATGTGAGAAAGAAAGAGGAGAAGCCCCCCCCACCCAAGCTATCATTTTTTCTTTTCTGCTTGTAGATCCTTTGTTCCCTGAATCTTTCCCAGGTTTTTATTTTTTTAAAAAAACATCTGGAGTCTTTTTTCTTTTCCTCCTATTGGTAATTTCTGCCAGGTTTTCATTTTGACACTTCCTGTTACTTTTCTTTGATTTCCATTCTTTATTTTTGATTTATGATCCTTGTCTCTGGTGAGCCAGTGAACAGAAACTGGAATCCAAGCGCATCCTGTTCTGTATATCTTGTAATATTGTTACAGAGTTGTTTTCCTTTAAGTCAATGATTTATGCCTTAAGACTTCACTCCTTGTAAAAAGCAATGCAAACTCGATAAGTTAAAAATGCTCAAAACTCCCAGCCAAAATTTGTCAGAAAAGTACTATGACTTTATGTAGCTGCAAGGAAATTTTTATCTGTGGTTGCAATTTCCAGATTCTGAGCGTCTCGAGGGTAGCTTAGTCATAAAAACCATGTCAACACCGGATAATCAAACTGTGGATAATTAAACCTGTGTTATCTGTGTATCAGCTGTACTGTATGTCTGTGCTCATCATGTTGAATCAGGTGTAGTTTACAACACACATCTGCTCTTACTACAGTTGCTACACGTTGGTTAACTACCCCAGAGCATCTGGACCAGCTCCTGTGGGCTGTGATACATGAGCAATTTTGGGAACCTAGGAAGCTCTCGCCTAGTGAAAGCAGTTCTCACAAGCTCTCTGACTCCCATGCTGTCCTCCAGATAACTTTCTCAAAATAGATGCCAGCACAAATCCTTAGCTCTCGTTCTGTGCTTGGCAAGAGATTTTGGAAGCTAAAATGAAGTACAGAAGGCAATTTTGGCATTCTCTGTAGCACTGGGAAGAGCTTGAATGGTAACGCACTGCTCCTGTAGCTCTTTCTGCTGCTCCCTCAGAGCAGCTGTATCAGACTCACCTGGGGAAGGGTCTTTTCCTGGTCTGAACTATGACTTGCATGGTAGTTGCCTGCCATGCTGACAGCACAGTGACTGATGGACCTACCAAGCTGAGGGTCTCCAAGATACACATTCTTTACCATTGCAAATCCAGAAAATAAGGTTGCAGAGAAGGGTGGTGATTACTCTGTGGGATGAGGTGAGGTGTGACTGGGTCCAGATTGTGTGTTTGTTAAAGATGTTCAGGACGCTCTATTTAGCAGCCTCTAAGTAATGGAAGAAGTTACCTGGCAGAAAGACAGTTGGGGTTGTTGAAACAAATCTGGGAAAATAATTGACAGGGTGACAGACTGCTCAATGGAGGTAGAAGCCTCAGGGGATCATGGAATACACAGCCAAAGAGTTGTCAAATGCAGCATGACGGTTTTCTTTCAGTGCTCTAAATCTGGAAGAGCCAGATATGTCAAACGTGATCCATTCACATGTCCGTGTGAAGTAGGTGGTAGGAACAGAGCTTGCAGGAGTAAACTACAAAAGGCATGTTTCTGAAGCACTCTAAGACTGAGAAAAGCAGAACAGCAATAGCATTGTTCTATTTTCCAAGGATATAACATGCAGAACTCTTCCACCCAAAATCCAATGTTTCTAAATGCTCTTCCCAGAGGTCAGCAACATAAACAGCACCCACAGTTTACCTCTTGCAAATTCAACTCAGCTATACTAAAGTTCTTTGCGAACACTAGTCTCATCAAATCCCTGCAAGAGCAAGTAAACTTGTAGTGAATAATGAGAAATCAGAAAGGACAGAGGATATAGGCTGAAACCATTTTGTGGTGGCTTTGAAAGTCAGAACCAGTTTAACGCTGGACAAAATAAAATTAATGAGTTCAAGGTAGTTTGCAAAGTAGGTGGAGTGACAAAAGACAAAATACAGCTTTCATTTATTGCATTGGGTCTCTTCTTAAAGAAATACAGTTTATTCTATAGTAGGAAAAATGCCTGCACAGAATGATTTTATTATTTTTAAACTTTTTTAGACACTTCAAGATGTGCCTAACATCTACCATCATCAGCTTGCTTGACACATTTTAGCTGTCTTTTCATCATGGGCTTACGGCAGTGCTGCTGTTCTGACAGCCTTGCACAGCTAAGCCCAATTCTTAAGAAATAGAACCAGAAAGACATCCAAGACACAGCAAGAGTAAAGCAGAGAATGAAAAAGCAGTCTAAAGGAAGAGAGTGACTCAAATTTCTTGATCCAAATATGTTAGGATTTGCTGTAATTTCTAGAAAGGATGATGCAATTCAATATTTCGTTTCATCTCAAGATCAAATAAATAGCCAGGATGAGAAAGCTCTTTCAGCTCATCCTTTTCTCAGCATCCTGTTTCTTAGCCCAGAAAATGTTTATTGGTTTGTTTTTTGTTTTTTTTTTTTTCTTTTTCTTTGGGGGGGAGGGGCTGCTTTTTAAAGAATAAAATGGTTGTGATGAATGAGAGAGCTCAAGCATCTGGAAACCCATGTGCCCATCAGGGCTCACTCTCACACATCACCTCTCTTAATTTCTGGTTTTGTTTGTTTGTGGTTTTTTCACATTGAGCAATACTAAAGGCTTTTTGGGTTGTGTTTTTTTTCTTTCTTTTTGTCCTTTAACAAAAGGATGAAATGAAAGCAAACTTGGACAGGCAAAAACTCAGTTATTTAGAGCTTTATCACTTACAGTGCCACTTCAGGAATAAGCCCCCTCCTTTTCCCCACTTGAGACACTCCAGTTGTTTTAACTGTGGCTCTAATGATGAATCCCGTGTCTACAGTTGTAATTGTTTATAAATACCACACATATACTTCTGAAAAATCTTACCTGGGTTGTACCAGGTGTCATCCAAGGCAGCTTTGCCTATGGGCAAAGCCAGTTGCTCAGAATGAGTTGGGTTGGGTGAGAAAGAGGGATCACACACATCAAAGTCTGTTAGTGTTCCTTGGGGTTCCAAAAATCCAGAGTACATGCGCAGAATAACAAATTGTAAATCTCCAATTAAAAATAGACTTTTCAGATGGACAGTTGCTTAATGCAGTGGGTTTTAATTTTTTTTTAAAGATGCATGTGGAAGTAATTGTGATACAGACCAACAGGGATTAAAGGGTTAACAATGGATAATTTTTTTTCCTGTAGAACAAAATGTCTTACAGGAATCAATTGCATCCAGGTTTTCTGAATATTTTTGCAATGCAATAATTCTTTTAAATTAGTTGGCAAATATATGAAGCGGGTTCCAAATGAAGGCACAAAAATGTATGAAATTGGCTGAGAACTTTAACCAGTTGGTTTTGGTTTTTTCAAAGAGAAGCAGATGAAAATAAAACATTAGTGCATAGTAGTCCAAGGAAAGTCTTAAAAAAGAATTAATTGTAGTTTACATTAGTCTTTTAAGACTTTCACTAAGCTACTGTATTTTGAGGAGTTAATTACTTGCATTCATTACAATAAATTATTTTTATAAAAAATTAGGTGTTGTTTCTGTTAGTATCTTTAAGAACTTACTTTTATGCCTATAGGTAGCACACAGTGGCACAACTTCCAAAATGGCAACCCCAAAACTACAGATTTCTGTGTCCCCTGAAGTTTCCCCAAACTTGATGCTGGGAGAGAGGAGGCTTCCAGGATACTGCACGTGTCCGGCAGCAGCCAGCTGACACAGGCACTGGAGCCTGAGAAAACAACCTCAGTAGAATGTGCTCCTGGAGCAATGTGACAACACCCCCTGTCAAAAGCTGTGGAAGCCAGTCCTTCCTGTGCTGATGGTGAAGCTCTGGAGTCCTTTGGTAAAAAACTTTCCTTTTTTAGGTTAGTAGATGTATAGAAGACTAGTTTTACTCCTTTTTTGGATTATTCACCAAAGCCAGAAATATCCCAAAATAGCAATTCCGTGCCTGAAGGCTTGTTTCTCACATCATATGCAATCAACCTCTTTTTGTTGTACAACTCGCTGGCGTAAAGCAAGAGCTCACCAATGTTAAAAGATGTGGCTGTGCAAGTGTTTGCACATGGGCAAACGTGGCACACAGGGTAAGAGGCTTTCTAAGGAACATACATTTAAATCTCTGCTTCCCTTGGAACAAATAATTTTCTTTGATTGCCTGAGGAAGGGGCTTGACACAGCTTTAAAATCATAGAAACATAAAATGATTTGTGTTGGA